AATGGAAATTCACTCAAAGGTACCTATTGCTTTGCCTAAAAGAACATGATCATGCTCATCCACACATCTGATATACTGTATATGGGGAATGAGAGAACCTTTCACAGTTTTCAATAAATATCATGAGGAAAGTAGACACAGGGCAGCTGTTTCTTGTTAAATTTCCCTAAAGCCCAGTTGTAGCCTAAGCTATTACAAATTAGGCAGGCAAGTCAGGCAGCAAAAATATATATTTTTAATAATCTTGCCCTTTTACAGTATTCATCCACTACACCAGGGGTAGGCAAACTCCGGCTCTTCAGCTGTGGTGCAGCTACAAATCCCATTAGGTATTGCAAGACTCTGACAGCCATTTTACATTTCTTTTATTTTTCCGCTGTCTGTGTTTTCTTCTTGTGAAAAACATGCAAAAAAAAGAGGCTAAAGTGGGGCTGTTTTTTGGCACAAGAGCTGGTCCGGGATAGGTCAAAATAGTTCCTGTTGAAACTATTGAAAGCCAATTGCATTTTTAAAAAAACACGAAAAACACCTTAATTTTGCCTTCCCAAATGACTCCAATGCATTTAGCCCAAATTTCCCAATTTCTGCTAAACTTTTGAGGAAATTGTAACTCTCAGTTTCACTCATCCAAGACCCAGGCTGCAAGGGGCCTCAACTACAGTCAAGGTTGAGCCTTACCCCTGGCTCCAAGACACCTCACCTGTTATTAAATTGTCAAATGACAAAACTCCAGCGGACAGTAGAGCATTTTGCAGTTAAATGGAGTCAATTATGTAATTGGCATAATAAGGAAGTATTAGTAAGTTCTATCCCAGTAAAGAAGTACTCCTACTTCCCTATTATGACAGTGATCTGTCCCGCATGGGCACCCACTTACTCCCTTCTAATCTTATCACCAGAATCCTTGAGAGATGTAAGACTATGTTCGGTGTTTCAGCTTACAAACTTAGACATGACTCTTTGGTGTGACCTTCTACTTTAACTGACCAACAGTTACCTTCCAAGGCAGGTTTAAATCTAACTGGTCAGTGTCGGCCATTACAGACATTTCCCTATAAAGATGCGGTGATAAATAAACCCCAGTTACAAGTTCACAGTCCTTCTAAACAGTCAGCAGTGAGATCTCCCCATATCCTCCAGTGATGCCCTTCTCTGTACCATAGAGTCTCACTTCTACAGCATTCTCTGTCAGGTACAATAAATACAACACGGTGTTACTTACCTGGAAACTTACTTCCAGGTCTTCTTGATATCAGTCTTTGAGTTACAATCTAAATGATTTGCGTTCTATAAATTTTCTAACAACTCATCTACATCTTCAATGACTTAATGTTCCCCTGCCCATAAAAATAACACCAAATATGATTTTTATACAATATGTACATTTTATTTATAATCAGTCAGTGCAGTTATTCAATATTCATCTTTTATTACAATTACAGAGCTGTACACTACATAGTACATCACCAGGAGGACCGCTATCATACTCTCCTTATGTGTAAACCTGAGTTTCGTCCATTCAGTGCAAAGCAACAATTCCACTTAACTGCTGCCGCCAAACCCCCCTCCCCACCCAGCTTTACTTTAAACCCAGCCCCCTGCTTAGTTTGGCCCCCACGCATGCAGTGACATTATTGTTACTTCAAGATAAGAAGAGCATGTTACTTACTCCCCTTCCATCCATTGTACAGCTCTGCATACCTGTGCAATCAATTGCCAGACAAAGCTCTGACACTTGGGGGCATGCAGTCCTCAACCGTGTGTAAGCTCCAACCACAGGGAACTGAAGGGTACACATGGCTTTTTTTTACTTCACTTCCAGGGGCCAGCGCAGCAGTGGGTGAGCAAAGGAAAGGACAATATATGCACCTGTTGCATATATGTTCAATATATGCAACAGGTGCATATATTGTCCTTTCCTTTGCTCACTTGTTGCTTTGCTCTGATCAAACCTAGCCAAACGTTATCATATATATCAAAATGGGTGCATTGAGCTATCTGCTTGTTCTCAACTGTTTTACTCTCTGGTGCTCTAGCGCAACTCTCTGTGACTTTTTCTCCAACTTGGCAGATGGCAAAATACAAAAATTGATAGTCCTCTTCCCAAACATCCATAGAAAATGGAATGGCCAACACACCGTGCTTGGTAGCACTCATTAGAGATACCCTGCATGGACAGGTAGTGGGTACACAGTGGTTGGTAGCACTCAGTAGCGATACCCTGTTTGGACAGGTAGTCACCTAGTTGGGTACACGATGGTTGGTAGCACTCAGTAGAGATACCCTGTATGGACAGGTAGTCACCTAGTTGGGTACACGATGGTTGGTAGCACTCAGTAGAGATACCCTGCATGGACAGGTAGTCACCTAGCTGGGTATACGGTGGTTGGCAGCACTCAGTAGAGATACCCTGCATGGACAGGTAGTCACCAAGCTGGGTACACAGTGGTTGGCAGCACTCAGTAGAGATACCCTGCATGGACAGGTAGTCACCAAGCTGGGTACACAGTGGTTGGCAGCACTCAGTAGACATATTCTGCATGGACAGGTAGTTACATAGTTGGGTACACGGAGGTTGGTAGCACTCAGTAGAGATATTCTGCATGAACAGGTAATCACCTAGTTGGGTACACGGAGGTTGGTAGCACTCAGTAGAGATATTCTGCATGGACAGGTAGTCACCTAGTTGGGTACACGGAGGTTGGTAGCACTTAGTAGAGATATTCTGCATGGACAGGTAGTCACCTAGTTGGGTACACGGAGGTTGGTAGCACTCAGTAGAGATATTCATCATGGACAGGTAGTCACCTTGTCCTTGCAAGTCGTATGGTTATTGGGTACACCACTTATAACTATCAGCCCTTGTGTGGTGACCTTTGACCATCAACAGCCTATAATAAGATAACATCACACAAGAGGAATGACATGATCCAGAACACTGACTTAGAAAAAAACACAAAAACATTTTATGCCGACAAATGGAAGCAAATAAACAAATGTGTGTTATGGAAAAAAAAAAAAGAAGGTAACTTTACTAGTCATTTCACAATACTCCCTGATCCCATTGTATGAATACTTCCAGCATCTAATAACAATACACAGTATTCACTACATTTTCAAGTTTCAAGAGCAACTCCAGATAACTGGTATAAATCAATCTGTTAACTGCTTAAACTGTCTGGGAACATTTGCACCAGTGCTGAAGGGGAATATATAGTGTTTTGGGGTTTTCTTTTTTTATGTTAAGGTCTAAAAAAATAAAATGTTTAAATCTTTTCACTAACATAGGGAATTAATATTATGTGTTTACTACTTGTTACCAAGTTGAAGTGTGGTGCTAAAGGCTGGAACTGAAGGTTTTACTACTATGCTGTGAATAGTCAGAATAGTTGGTGTCGTTTTTTTTCACCTTCTCCTGTTACGATCTATTCACAATACACACACAGATAAATGAGTTAGAAGAGAGACACACTCTAGTCTCTAGAGTGCCAAACCAGCTGCTGTTAAACTTGATGTACTCCCATCAAAACTCAATACAATGTTCAACATGCAGTGATTGTAGTCCACATACATTATGTCTCTCATTAAGCCCTGATGAAGGGGGTCTGTTTTAAACCCCCAAAACATGTTGGTTACTCTACTTGAATGTCCCCTGCGCCCTGACCCTAATGGAATAAAGTTGTATGGATTCAATTGGTGTTGCACTTTAATTCCTACATCCACTGTGTACCTTCTAGTCCCTGGCTACTGCCTCAAAACAGACTTGCATGAAGTTAGAGGCAATTCTTATTAGATAGCCCAATATGCCTTGTAGCCTACATGTAATAAAAGCACCCAGTAAGGAGTAGAGGGGGCAGCTCTTGACTTCTGCAATAAGTGATGGAAGACGTTTTGAAGGTGCTCATTTGTAATTCAGGTTGCCACCTTTTGATATCTTTTTTTGTTTGTTATCTGTTTGGCAGGATAGACACTCGGTGGCTATTTTACATCTATGGGTAATCCTGGACAGACATTTAAAATGTAAAGAGTATGGAGTAAACACCACAAGGTAATGGCTACTACCCTCATTAGTCAGGAAGCCCTCATAGGTGTATCTCCACGCATATTAATGGGGCCTGGTTTCTAAGCTATAGAAACAGGGACACCGGCACTCCAAATGCAGATCAGATTCGTCTATTTATTGACATAGTTCAGTATTTCACACTGGTGCAATGTTTCAGGGTCTCGCAGTATCCCCATTCCTTAGGCAAAACATGTGACATGTTTTGCCTAAGGAAGGGGATTCTGCGAGAACCCGAAACATTGCACCAGTGTGATATGCTGCATCTACGTCAATAAATAGACGAATTTGATCTGCATTTGGAGTGCCGGTGTCCCTGTTTCTATACATGTACATAACAGTTGCTATCCACAGCACCCAACCAATTCTTATGGAACTAGCGGTCAGAAGTGTGATGGGTTCATGGACTCTGGTTTCTAAGCTAGACACCAAGTCCCTGTCCAATGAGGGTTCCTTATTGACCCCTGAGACACATTAATTGGACAGGGGTATAGCATTTGGGCAGAGCTTCGGCCATGAAAGTCAGGCCCCGGTAACAAAGTATCACCAAATTTAAGGGAGGTTCACAGAGGATGTTCCTCTGACAAAGAAAGATAATAGCAGGAGCCTCGTGGCTTCCACTCTTCCTCAGGACTTTTATTTATAAGAGATGGAAATGGCTGACAGTTGGGATTTTGTTTTTACATTCTGTAATAATTGGAAAAGGCAGCGAACAAAGCAGGAGTTTGTAGCAGCACGGGTCATTGTACGGGCCCCTGTTCAGTAGGGTGATGTATGACATTGGGAAAATGCTACCCAATTATTGTTCATGTTTGGTGTTCTCTTTTTTTTATAGAAACATTTTTTCACTTAATAGAAACATTTTATGTTTTACATTTTTGATACGTATCTATTTTTTATTTCACAACTGGAGCTTGTAGTCATTCAGTGCATATTTTTGTACCAGTGCATATCAAAGTTACTGCATGCTTTAGGTCATTGTTGGTTTAGAAAACAATCTCCACCCTTGGGTAAACCTGGAACTCAGAAAGTCTTCTCTGCGGGTCCTGAATGAGCGGTAGATGTTGTTGTTATTGTTGAACAGGTGGGTCGGAGACTCAGGTTGGTAGTTCCTCTGGAAGTAATTTGATTGGTAGTTTGTCGGTGTTGTGGGGCTTCGAAGAGAAGGGTAGCCATGGAAGGAATTAATTCTCTGAAGGGGGGATTGTACAGGAGATTGGACCGGAGATTGAACCGGAGTGCTGTATGTAGGAGATGCTGGGGCTTGTGATGTATGGGAGACACTGGTGGCCGAGGACCCGCTAAGTGGTTCTGAGGTCGTGTTTTTACTCTCCTGGGTGCTGCTCTCCGACATTGCCCCTTTCTCGCTTTCTTGTTTCAGGACCGGCGCCATTGGAGCTGGGGACTTCAAGCCCATCACAGGCTTGGATGTGGCATAGATATGTCTAAACTCCTCATCAAACAACTCAACCACATGTCCGGAGAACTTGCACAAAAAGTTTCTGTGGACTTGCCCGGAAAGCCATGTGAAGCTGGAAACACAAGAGAAGTATTGTTAATAGGTATAACATTGATTTATAGACCATCCCAAGACAACGAGACATTTCTGAACAAGTCCATACAGAAGGTCATTAATATATCTCATCTGTTACAATAGTCAAAATTCCTTTTTGTCATCATGGATAGATTTTTATCTTACTAGAAAGTTTTGCAAGTTTTTTTCTGTGTGCTCCTCTCTGCCTTTTCAAAATGTAAAAGACCACTACAATGAGAAACCAAAAGGTTTAGCAGGTTGCCCAGCCCCCCAGAAAGGCACCAATAAGAGGAAAAACTGCAAAAGAAATACAGGCTTCCATTTACCAATATCAAGTCCTAAGAAATCCAAAAATTTACCTGAGCAATTTAATCTGATCATATAATTAAAAAAAACACCACATAAACTTTTCAGTGAGAACAACATATCAAAATAGGCAGCAGATCCAAAGATGTAGGTAGTTAAAAGAGTTGTAAAGTACCAGTACAGAAGCCATGACCAAGTTGCTGAGTGGTCTTCAGCTAGTCCCTGTGTGCCCTGTACTCTGTCCCAGTATCCTGATTTCCTGTGTATGAACCCGGCTTGTGGCCAATTGACTCCGCTTTCTCCTTTCTTACGTTTCCTGACCCTGCTTCTCCTGGTCTGGGATTCGGTACCTCAAGATTTGGCTCCCCTTGTATGACCTAACTTGAACCTGACTTCCCTCCTGGTCTGTCACTTATTGGATCGCTCCATCAGTACTCTGAGCAACCACATCCAGCCAGTGCTCCATTGGCCACCACTTCAAACTCGCTCCCATGATGGACTACAATCTCATGTTTAGTTTACTAACTTGTATTGTGATTGTAGTCCATCATGGGAGTGAGCTTGGAGAGGTGACTACTTTATAACACACACAGGGACCATGGAGAACAAAAGTATCCCCCTCCAGAAGGAAGGACAGTGTCAGCACCAATTCAGAGATGATTGGAGGATCTACAGCAGAGTGATACACAAATAAGATACATTTTTGTTAATAATTAGGGTATTTGGGTCATCTGGAGTTTATTGTCACTTTAATATACGCAATAATTTTTTTTTTGGCCATGGTTACATTTTAATTTGCTTCAACAGTTTCCTGTGTAACCTCTAAGCCAGGGGCACCCACAATTTTTCATCTGGAGATCTACTTTTCAAATGATGAGCTCAATGAGATTTACCAACGAAAAAACACCTGCGTTCAGGGGCGGGAGGGGCAGTGGCGGTGCATTGACTTGCGGTGCCATTCACGTCAATGCACCGCCACGTCCCCTCCCGCCCCTGAATGCAGGGAGTCGGCCGCCTTACATTCCAGTGCGTCCTAGAGGCACCGGCGTCCTGTCCTCCTAGGGGTCTAAACAGCCCCCTGATATTTGCCTTTTAAAATAGAAAAAGAAATTGAGGACACAAAGTCCTCATTCTCTTTTTCTGCAGCCTCTTTTCTAAATGAATGGGAAGCACAGAGGCTTCCATTCATTCAGAAAATATTTTACTATCATCCAATTTCTGAATGGGGAGGAGCCTCTGTACAGAGTGCTTCTCCCCATTGAGAAATTCATGAATGAACAGGAAGTGATGTAAATCACATCCTGTTCATTTATAACTGGGGGACACATAGTACTATGTAAAACAGTAGAAAGGTATCATGGCACACTCACAAACCAACATGTAAAACAACTTGTCTCACCGCGCCAAGAGGTGCCTTGGCGCGGCTGTGTGGCTTTCTAGGCCGAGCGTCTTTCTCTCTCTCCTCACCGCTCGGCCTTAGTTCTGTGACAGCGGCTCCCTCCTCCGCCGCGGGCTGCAGCGCTTCTTTCACTTCTCAGATCCCCACTGCATACAGATGGGGAGAGCACCGGGGATCCAGAGAAGCACCACGGGCAGGAGGAGAGGCCATCACGATCTACCACTGATTGCTACGCGATCGACTGGTAGATCGCGATCGACCTCATGGACACCCCTGCTCTAAGCTTTGAGCCTTCTTGTCCACACTGACATTACTAAATGGCTCCACCTGAATACTTTCTTACATAACCTCACTCTGACCACAAGCAACACACAGGAGACAAAGTCATTAACAAAATGTCAAGTTTGGCACCAGGGATTCCAAGTAAATTGTGTAATGTTCTTTTATTTCTGCAGATCTCCTAATACTTCAAAACAAAGAAAAAAAAAATGTTTTCTCAGCAAGAAGATGACAGCAGCCCCTACGCTGATGGCGACTCTGCAAACACTGACTACCGAAAGCAAGAATGCAGCGCGGGAGGAAGACTTCCTGACAGCGATTGGTAATTATGAACAAGTAGAGACACAGACAGCTGGAGTTCGGATTATCCTATTGACACTACAGTTGGCTTTTGCATCAATTCCCCCTTGAGGGTAAGCAACATCATTATTCCCCTAGTACATTTATTGACGAAAAGGCATGACGAGGCTGGAGCTGCCCACACTAGCACTGGGACCCCGAGGCTGGAGCTGCCCACTCTAGCACTGGGACCCTGAGGCTGGAACTACCCACACCAGCACTGGGATCCTGATGCTGGAGCCGCCCACACTAGCACTGGGACCCTGATGCTGGAGCTGCCCACACTAGCACTGGGACCCTGAGGCTGGAGCCGCCCACTCTAGCACTGGGACCCTGAGGCTGGAGCTGCCCACACTAACACTGGGACCCTGAGGCTGGAGGTGCCCACACTAGCACTGGGACCCTGTAGCTGCCCACACTAGCACTGGGTCCCCGAGGCTGGAGCTGCCCACACTAGCACTGGGACCCTGAGGCTGGAGCTGCCCACACTAGCACTGGGTCCCCGAGGCTGGAGCTGCCCACACTAGCACTGGGACCCCGAGGCTGCAGCTGCCCACACTAGCACTGGGACCCCGAGGCTGGAGCTGCCCACACTAGCACTGGGACCCTGAGGCTGGAGAGGGTCACCCATCAGCACAGTTTTTATAGGGAATGTGAATATATAAGAGCTAAAAAAAAAAATTTTAAATCAATGTTTTTTCATTTTTTCAGTCAGGTAAATATTGCATATGAATATTTAATGTTTGCATTTCCAACCAACAGGTGGAGCTACAGGGGCTTTTCACATGTTTGTCTGTCAATTCTACAGATTATCTTCTCCTCTCGTCAACGTAGAGGAGAGGTGATCTGTAGTCCACAGAGGGGATGGGAACAATGCTTACTGATAACAATGCGGTAGAGGCAGAGAGCACAGGAAGTTATCAGCTCACAGGATTTCTGGCAGGATCAACAGTTCTCTTTGCACATATCGATCAGATATAACAAAACTTTCTCAATGGTATATTTAACAGACCAAAAGGGACAGAATAAGAGAAGTTTATTGCTATCGTATACATATCGTTGCTCTGTTAACATTGTCGTTGACAGAGCTCAATAGATCAAGCTCAAATTTATACATGAAATTGAATGTTACAGAAGAACCCCGGGCAGAAATTTTATAAATCCTTGCAGTGGGGCTAACCCCTCCCACCCCCTCCCTTCTCCTTGTTTTTGCCTAGGGTAAAAAAGTTATACTCACCTGATCCCCAGAGCCGGCAGCAGGCAGCACTTCTTCCAGGCTCTCTCCTCTACATGTCCCCCTTAGTGTCCTCATATATTATACACTGTGTATTGGATGTGATGTCTCAGGGACCTTAGACCACTGCAGCGGAGGGAGAGAGACGATCCAGGGACTGTTCCAAGTGCAAGCAGGCTCAGGTAATTTTTTTTTTTTGACCCTAGCTAAAAATTGAGCAGTTAACCCTTGCAGTGCAGGGGTTAATACAATTTAAGCCCAGAGTTCACAGTCATACAGCTTTCAGTCATCAACAAAGCATTTGAAGATCACAAGATCCAGCAAGAACATGAGCTTTTTTTTAAAAATACATTTTTAATAACTATTTATGGACCTTTTTTCTTTTGGCTATAAAAAAAAAACAAAAAACAGGCAACATTTTTTTTTTTTAGTTTTCTTTGTTATTTTTAAATCACATCATGTATGAGCACTGACCCTGATCATGCATGATGAACCAAAAAAGCATAACAAAAAACAAGTTAAAAACAAGTAAAAAATCAATGTCATTGCATTTATTTGCTTATCTTAATAGATTTTGTTGCTATTTGAGGTTTTTTTTAAACACTAGAAAAAGACAAAAGCTGAATGAACTCTGCTGCCTGGGCTGCGTGTTGTCTGCTCCCTACACCTGTGTGCATACATTAGAAGTGCTTTTGTGTACCAGTGACAGATAAGAATGACAGCTGTACAGGCAGCACCCAGTCCTGGCACCAAGGCTTCTGCTTAGATCCAAAATACACATTCTACAGAGGAACCAGAGCCAAAATAAATTATTCTATTCCTGAAGGGGGAGAGGGGGGGGGAGAGAGAGACATGAGAGAGAGAGATGAGAGGATGAGAGAGAGAGAGATGAGAGGATGAGAGAGAGGGAGAGAGATGAGAGAAAGAGGGAGGGGGAGACATGAGTGGATGAGAGAGAGATGAGAGGATGAGAGAGAGGGAGAGAGAGAGAGATGAGAGAAAGAGGGAGGGGGAGAGAGCGAATAAAACTATTGTTACATCCTGAATCTCCCTTGTATCCATTCTCTAACATATTGTACAGTGAACATTACGTGACACCAAAACAAAATAATGATGCCAATTTCTTGGATAAAAAAAAAAAAAAAAATTAGGTGGAAAACATTGATGTTGCATAATGTTATGTTGGGACTTGTTGGTTAAGGAATGGGGAGCTAAAGCAGAATTCATTCTATGCATTATGCTTGTCTCCAGATGCCAAGCATACAAAATGACATGTTTTTATAACTTGGAGCTCCTCACCTTAATGAGAGATGCAATTTGCTGGCATATAATCACCCAGCATGGGGTCAAAAACAAATCAATTTTTTTTTGCCAGGCACAAATTCTGCTACACACTGAAAAGGGCAGACAGACAAGTGTGTAATAGACCTGAAACAGGACA